AAAATTTATTATTTATATTAAAACATCATTTGAATGTATGCTCGTTAACTTATCGAACAAAATTAATGAGCCGAACACGAGCTGTTCGCGAACAACGAACCGTTTTGCCAGCCTTAATCAGGAATGACCTAAAAATGATGAATGTTAATAACATTGCTGTTATTTTCATTATGTTTTGGTAGTATTCCTGGAATGTTATGGTAATATTATGGTAATATTAATAAAATATTAGTGATTTTTTTTTCAAATTGGTTGTTTTTTATAACAAAACTGTTATTTTTCATCTGTTTTGGTAGTATTCTTGCAATATTATGGTAATATGAAGATAATATAAGTGATTATTTCATTCTAGTTGTTTTTGATAATATAGTTGTTATTTTCCCTATGTCTCGGTAGTATTCCTGGAATATTATGATAATATTGGGGTAATATTAATATTATATAAGAGATTTTTTCAATTTGGTTGTTTTTTATAACAAAACTGTTATTTTTCATCTGTTTTAGTAGTATTTCTGCAATATTATGGTAATATTATGGTAATATTAAGATAATATAAGTGATTTTTTCATTATGGTTGTTTTCGACAACATAGCTGTTATTTTCTCTGTGTTTTTGTAGTATTCCTGGAATATTATAGTAATATTGTGGTAATACTAATATAATATAAGTGATTTTTTCAATTTGGTTGTTTTTTATAACAAAGTTGTTATTTTTCATCTGTTTTGATAGTATTCCTGCAATATTATGGTAATATTAAGATAATATAAGTGATTTTTAGATTCTGATTCTTCCCTGTGTTTTGGTTGTATTCCTGGAATATTATGGTAATATTGTGGTAATATTAACATAATATAAGTGATTTTTTCGGTTTTGGTTGTATTCCTGGAATATTATGGTAATATTAATATAATATAAGTGATTTTTTCAATTTGGTTGTTTTTTATAACAAAGTTGTTATTTTTCATCTGTTTTGATAGTATTCCTGCAATATTATGGTAATATTAAGATAATATAAGTGATTTTTAGATTCTGATTCTTCCCTGTGTTTTGGTTGTATTCCTGGAATATTATGGTAATATTGTGGTAATATTAACATAATATAAGTGATTTTTTCGATTTGGTTATTTTTTTATAACAAAGCTGTTATTTTTCATTTATTTTGGTTGTATTCCTGCAATATTATGGTAATACTATGGTAATGTTAAGATAATATAAGTAATTTTTTCATTCTGGTTGTTTTTGATAACAAAGCTATTATTTTCCGTGTTTTGATAGTATTCTTATAATATTATGGTAATATTGAGGTAATAATATGGTAAAATAGCTGTTATTTTCCTAAATATATCATCAGAACAACCATGATACGACTGCGGAGCCAAGAATATAGTAAAGGAATATTCTAATCAAACCTGGTTATACTCCTTAGCGAGCGTTGTTTTCATTATGGTTGTATTATGATATTATTTTGGTAATATTTTGGTAATATTCAACCCAGGTTATTCAATGCTGGAGATAATAAATTGGCAAAATATTTTAATCAAACATTGCTTATTACAGATGTATTTAGACAATATTATGGTAATATTAACATTTTTTTTGTATTGTTTCACATATTTTGGTGATGAAATGTTTAGAAATAGGTTAACTTTAAAAAATATACCTTTGTAACAATCACGATACAACCGCGAAGCCAAGAATACAGTAAAGCAATATTCCAATCAAACCATGTTATATTCCTTAGCGAGCGTTGTTTTCATTCTAGTTGTATTATGATATTATTTTGGTAATATTTTGGTAATATTCAAGACAAGCTATTCAACTTTGGCTATAATAAACTGGCAAAATATTTTAATCAAATAACGCTTATTCCAGACATATTTAGACAATGTTATGGTAATATTAACGTTTTTTTTATTTATTTCACATATTTTGGTGATGAAATGTTTAAAAACAACTTAAATTTAAAAATATATCTTCAGAACAACCACGATGCGACCGCGGAGCCAAAAATACAGTAAAGAAATATTCCAATCAAATCAGGTTATATTCCATCTTATTGAGCGTTGTAATATAATGGTTGTATTATGATCATATTTTGGTAATATTTTGGTAATATTAACCGCAGGCTAGAATAATTGGCAAAATATTCTAATCACACCAATCTTATTCTAGCAATCTCGATGTATTTTGGCAAACTTTATGTAATATAACTATTTTTTTAAGATAATATAGCACATTTTAATGGGAATAAAATTTAACAGTTGTATCTTTCATATTAACACTGCATATACTACATTAATTCCACAATAACAAATAATAGATTGATTTAATACTGCAGAAACTAAATTAATACTACATTATGTTCATTTATTGCAGTTGCTTGGTATTTCACATATCATCATTTAGGTACATCAATAAGCTTGTATATGTGTCTTTTAGTAGTGTTGCAGGTAATTCCTACTGTTTTTGGGTAAGCATAAGTGAACGTAAGTATATAAGTATAATCAAAATTACTTCACACATCACAAAGCATTTCAAATTTTAAGTTATGTACCTGAATACACCAATCTGACATTGCAAACAAGTTTGGGTTAGATGGGTGAAATGTATCTTGACTTGAACCAACATCTTTGTCCTTTCCTTTAACACAATGCTTCATGTTAGGGAGTTGCAACGCATCATGCATGAAGACATGTTTATTAGTAGTATAGGTAAAGCTTACTTTTTACTCTCATGTTCTTCTCCCAATAACCTTTTAACCTTGCATTAGACATTCATTTTGGTTGCATCTTCGTTGGGTCGTTCAAATTATGTTGTATATTTGATGTTTTTTTCTTCTTTGACCTTGGATTTTCCGGTGATCTCTCTCATTCAATATGGTATCTGATTCGATTGTTAGTTTTTTTAATGTCTCCAGGATGTTTTTTTCTCAGCAAGGTCATTACCTTGAGTTAATATATTGATCTGTTATGCAAATTTATGAAAGTGTGTTCGATATATAAGTCCACTTGAACAACTTAGTGACGTTTGTGAATCCTTTAGATGTTTCTACACATAGCTGTGATATATATCCCTCTTTGCATGAACAGACCATCGTAATAATATATATTTATCAAGGAGTTTTGTTATATTCTCATGGCTAAGCACCTTTAGAGTGTGAGCATATAATAAACTCATCATTTCAAATATTTTGCAATTACATGTAA